AAAAGAGAGCATCGAGAAAATTTTGTTATTGCAAAAGCGTTGACAATTTGCATTTCCATAAGACCAAAAACCTTTTTAGTAGTAGTTGGTATGAGTAATAGGTATGAGTTGAGCTGCTCTACTTTCCGGTACCCCGACAAGAAATGAATCAAAATAGAATTCTCGAAAATTATTGCAATTTGAAGTTCTAAGGTAAGGGTTAGGTGTGAGCTTGGGTCTGTTCACACTACGACATAAGCATGTCGAACAAAAGAAAAGACAAAGGAATGAATTCAAGCGTGAATCGATATAAGAATAGTGAGTAACATAAGGCAGAGCATAAGCTAATCAAAGACAAAGGAATGAATTCAAGCGTGAATCGATATAAGCATAGCAAGTAACATAAGGCAGAGCATAAGCTAATCAAAGACAAAGGAATAAAGTCAAGCCTGCATCGATATAAGCATAGTGAGTAACATATGTTTATGAAGCGTGTGCTTATGTTGCAGTGAGAACTGAATAATCCCCYCTCGGACTCGGGAAACAGGTAGCCCAAAGGAATAAACATGGGAAAATGCTAGAGGGACGCCTGCTGATMGATCACTAGTGCAGGCTGAACCACAGTCTCGCTTTGATGCGAAGGCTAGGTTCCTTTTCAAGATGGCGGCATGAATTCAGCTTAGATACATTTGATGTTTATGGTATGAAACAGGCAAAAAGTTATGGCTCTCATTCAAGTGGTTACTTTGGTAGTTGTGTGATTATTTTAAAACAATTTATTTTATCTTTGACCTCACGCCAGTCATCACATCAAAAAGTCTTGAAAGTGACTATCGACCAATCAAACAAAGTGTGACGTCACATCTTGAAGAACTGAACAAGCTGGTCATCCAGGGACTGGGCAGGAAATAATGACGTGCTCGATGACACGGCAGATCCTATTACAATTATGTAGATAAAAAAATGGRCAGCCGAAACGTTTTGCATCCACAATTGTAGACCCTCGTCTCGTGCTYTCTGTCTAACATGGCTGGAGTAGGAACGTCTTTAAGTGTGTCTGCAAACTTTTAATTTCTTTTTTTTTTCTGTGAAAATATAGTGGAGCTCCCTGACTTATCTTAGCAAACATTAAGTGATTATCACAATACAATGCTTACAAGGTTTCTAACATTATGTAATAAGCTTTTGGATGAGATCGATGTAGTATTGTATACAAATGTCCTTGTAAATATTCTATTTATTTGGTCTCCTCTTGTTGAGTCGTTATACTTCTAAAATTAAACTAGATTAACCTGTAAGT